CACCATGCTGTTACATTAGATCTTCAGGATTTACCTTATAACTGAAATTCTATACCTTTTGACCAACATCCTCTCATTTTTCCTTCCACAGTCCCTGGCATTCCATTCTGTTTATATGAGTTTGAATTCTTGTTTATTTCTCACATTTTCTGTTATTATATATTGACTACATAGATGAATGGGCTTCATTTTGGCAGTTTTGTATATGTACATAATATGCTTTAATCATTTACCCAATCAATTCTCTTGTTCCACCCTCTCCCCTAGTTCCTATTTTTGGGGGGAGTTTCGATGCATTGAATGTACTTTAATCATTCTCATGACTTTTAGAGTTCCTATGTTAGTGACATTATACAATATACATTTATTTTTCTGTGTGTGGCTTATTTCATTCAACATAATGTCCTCAAGCTGCATCCACATTGTCACAAGTGACAGGATTTCCTTTTTTTAACTGAAAAAAGTACTTGTTGTATTTCTAACAAACCACCAGATGATACTGATGTTGCTATTCCTGGAACTACACCTATAAAAAATGTTCTAAACTTGTCAGCAAAGGAACATACTGTCAAATATTGAGTTGTAAAGGAGTAGTTTCACACAAACTTATAGTGACCACCTGCACTGATTTTCTCTAAGGGAAAATAAGTGTTTCTAGAAAATATAGATCTTAGTCTTGCAAATAGCCTTTCATTCTATTGCCAAGTATTAACTTATTTAATTCACAGATTTGATGTAAACTGATGTGTGTTCAAATTGAAGCATAGTTTCCTGATGCCTCAATAATCTCAATTCATCTTGAAATGAACAAGTTAGTCATTTGGGTACTTGAAAACTACGTCCACCTCTAGGATGAAAACTTTCCTATTTTGCTTTTAAATTGCATATTCTTATTTCACTTTTCAGTAATAAACTTTACCAGACCAAGAAGATATAAGAACAGGTTCTACAAGGATGTGGAAAAGAGTTTTCCACAGAGTTTGAATGCATACTTGTCAAATGCTTTGTTATGTTTTTTGTTACTCTTTAGTGACACCTGTAAGCATATTCTTTGGTATCAAATAACCGGAACTTTAATGGGGTAATTATAATTTATCAATTTATTTTCCTGGTACTCCCTTTTACCAACCTCATTTGGGCTAAATTTTCTGGAGATACTGATTATGTTAGGCCACTCAAAATTCCACAGACATGTCTATACAATAGTTGCTGATGAATTTAGCCTTTTTATAGAAAGTCAAGGGGCTGGAGGAGTTGGTAAAACACTTCGGAGCTAAATTCAAACAATACTGAAATGGGGTTCTCAAGGGATCAGAATCATTCCAGGAGATTTGAAGTTTTTGTGGCTTCTAATGGCCACTTGAACAGTATTAACCCAGGTAAATCTGAATGATGAGAATTTGATCTGATAGTTTGGATAAGTATGAAGTACATGAACATGTAGAATATGGATTTTTAAGTGCCACAATACATATAATAGTACAGAGGAGGAAAAACGACAGCTACTCTTCTGTTTTCTCCTCTTAACAGTGACAATAAAAAAATTTGATTTTTAGAGAATAAGTTCATAA